TCTTGTAAATTAGCGCACTTTCATTTACACCCCCTGTAGCCTAGGGCACCCCCCTAGCGTCATTTGCCCAACAATGGGACTTTTAGGACCTAGCCCACGCGAGTTAGATTCCGCCTGACGTTAAATAGTAATAAATAAATAAATAGTATAGGCGCTCTAGTAGGTATTATATACGTATATAGGTTATACTAGTATATTTATATAGGTTAGGTTATTTAGAGTCTTAGCGCACCTACTACCAAGTATACCTCCTACTAGCTAGCTAGGTAACGCTTATGGAATAGTTCTAGAACGTTCTTAGAACGCTTCTAAGATAGTTCTAGAACGATTACTAAAAGATAAAACGATTATTTAAAGTAATAATTAAGATTAAAAATAATTAGGGAATCCTTAATTATAATTATACTATCATAAATACTAATAGTTCTATTATATAAGTATAATATAATAATTAAGGGAGGGTTATTTTTTCCTAATACTTAACTTTTTTTAATTATTATATTATAGTATTATAACGGTCGCAAAAACCCCGGGCTCTCCTATAAGGTACTAAGGTAGCCGAAACTACCTTAGGTAGCTATCTATCTACTATATAATAAAACAAAACGTATATAACTTACTATACCTACCTACCTTGAATCGTTCATGCAGGTGGTTAGTTGTGTTAGTGGTAAGGCGGATCGGAGAAAAGCAACGGAACGGAGATAAGAATGTTGAAGAAAACAAGGCAGCGAAACCTAAGGCGAAAAGATGGTGTGTAGACGTGCCTGCCGTCCATGGCAACGGCCGCTATGATGGAGATAGTCATGGGGTTTACAGTTGGTTTAGGCGGCTCACCCTTCCGAACGGAGAAACATTCGAGGTTTAAAACATCTGAGTGTGTGTTTGGAGGAGCGATGGGATTCTAATAAGTATGGCATCTTGGGCTGAGTTTACATGGCCACACTTGATATAGTTGTGACTACGTACAGTGACTTTTGATGGATTGTGGCGTGTGGTTGTACAGTACTCATAGATGTCGATACAGTAATAATGTAGATACTGTAGGATGGTGGTTGCGGCTTGGCAGAAATGATTCAAGCTGGCGTCATTGCTGAGTTTGTATCATCCTGACTCACCCATACAAGACCCTACCTAGGTAAAGTCGAAGGAGCAAACGGCATGTCGTCGAAGGAAAGCCACACCCTGTGGCAAATTACCGTACCATGAAAACTGATTCGTAATAATAGAAGAAATTAACGTTCATGGTGAACCTTCATGTCCGTTTGTCTTGCTGGGGAAAGTCGATGTTTCGTTTCGCTGGGAAAAAAACAAGTAGATCCTGGGATCCCATACGAGAATGAACAAGGGAGGGGGAGAGCATGAGCCCAACACCAACACCTAACCACCCGATTTCGTTTTAGTGCGTTTGAGATGCTGGTCTATCTGGTCTTTTGTGATGGGGTGAGGAAGTGTGTCCAAGTGTCAAACACACCTTTTTTTTTTTNAACCTCCGTACGGAGGGTGAAAGACGAGATGGCCAACATCGTGCAGAGCGAGACATGGGGATTGTGGGAGTTCAAAGTCGTGGGAGTAGGAGCGACAGTGCAAGTGAGAGCTGCGGAGGACTCCGCCTGGTCGTCGTTCGCGTAGGAGTAATGCTCATACAAGTACTGATACGACTGATAATGACACTGCTTGTCAGATCGATGACTCCTACTCCGTACTCGTACTTACGACTTGTAGTAACCAGGTACTGTACTTACTTCGAAGTAGCAAAGCGTAGCGTCGAGTGGAGACCCCACAGGTATTTTCGGTACTGATATCTCAGACGCCTGGGCAAGACTTCGTATATCGGGATACTGATCCGTAGACATTCGCATCGTCTGCCCACGGACAAGTGATAGAGCCCTAGGCAAAGACTCGAGAGAGACCGGTGATGATGATACCCAACCATCTAGTGCACATCCTGGAGGGGAGTCAGAACTGTGCTGTACGTTGTATGTGATGTGTCTGATGCACAGAGCGTCTTTGAGCCCCAACACCGGGTTCGCACTGCAAACGCATACGAGTGAGTCCCTCCACCTTCACCTCCACTTCCACAGCTCCCGGTCTCCTTTGAGTCTGTGAATAATAGTAAGCCGTTGGCCGAACAATAGCACTATACGTAGTAGACCACCTGCTAGAAAGAAAACTCAGCATGGCCTCCAAGCCCTGGCATCGAGGCCAACTGCCGCAATTAAATTGTGGCGTGGGCGTGGGCTGGTCTGCTTGAATTCCGTTCTGGCCCTATTTTGGTACGGGTACCTACACTACGACTTACTAAGGACTGAGATGGTGGTAGACTACTGTAGGCACCCACACCTTACTAGGTAGGTATTTGTACATAGTATGCCCTACACAGCAACAACACCAATACCCTCCCTCGCGTATCCTTCCCATTCCCATACTGCGCAGATCAGCACTCAGCGAAGGTGTCCCTGGTGTGGGTAGTTGAGTGTCCTCCGTACTGTGAGTCAAGTACGGACTGTATCGTACTGTATCGTAATCAGTAGATGGCATTCATTCACGCCCTTTGCGAGCACCAGCGCCAGCACCAGCAACGCTCGAGACCTCGACCGACCCACCCATCGTTCGTGAGGCGGTGCATGCTCATTGGTCCTCGCCCGCTCTGCCCAGAGCAGTGGGTCCCCGGAGTTGAGATGGGAGCGTGAGCACACACACTGGCTCCTCGGGCTCTCTGCACCCACCAAGTGAGCAACCCACCGCGAACGCCCTAACGCCCTAACCAGCTAACCCCAACTAAGCGAACAACCTGGCGACCCGGCCCCTTCCCCAAAATTATTCAGATCCCCCCCAAAAACTCCTTTCCTCCTGCAACCCTTTCTGATCACCAGAAACCACCCGCGAAAAGCACGAATTTTCCCACCCACCCCACGACTTCCGGCACAATNCAAAAACTCCTTTCCTCCTGCAACCCTTTCTGATCACCAGAAACCACCCGCGAAAAGCACGAATTTTCCCACCCACCCCACGACTTCCGGCACAATCTTCTATTCCGTAGAAGACACTGCGCCTGGAACTGTCCCTCGATCGATACGCTTCCAGTATTCGACTGCATCGCTTCGCTGTGCGCCCGTCCATCTGTCGACGTTCCGCCCGCGACTCCACTCTTTCGATAATTTCCTCATTATCCAGGGGAAAAAAAAAAGACCGCCTCATTTGGGCCCGTCTTCACCCTCCCACTCATCCACTGAGAGATCCGATTTACTTCGACCATCTCGACTCTCCACTGATCAACCAAACTCACCAACTCTCCCCTCCCACGCAGACGCCCCCCGTCGCATCTGCTACATTCCATCTCCACCGATCTCCTTCTGAGAAGGACTTACTTCCCGCACACACGAACTGTCCTCCCCCCCGATACGTCATACACGACCAAAATATCTCTCCATCCGCACGATACGAGGTCATCTTCGAAAAAGCTCACCCTATGACTTCAGTTTCTCAGCAATCCACCATCCCCAGCCCGGCCTCCAACAGCTCCAACACGTCGCAGTCGCAGTCGACCCCGTCGTACGCTTCCACCGCAAAGAAGGCAGTCTCGTCGCCACCCATCGCGACGGGCACTTCCTCCCCATCTCCCGCCGTGGCTGTCGGAGGCTCTGCGCCGGTACAGCAACATGGAAAAACTGCTTCCATCTCGCCGGTAAACGGCAGAGGAGCGGTGCCTCCAGCTGTACCGGCAGTCGCACCTGCTATCGCCCATAGCAGTCCTGCACTTAATGGTGACCACGGCCGAAAGAGCTCAGTGACCATCAGCGCGAACAATAACGGATATCCCAATGGCGGCCCCGTCGGAGGATCCAAGGGTGCTATTCAGTTTGGCTCCATCACCGACTCTCCTGCGGCTTCTCACAGCACTCCACAGTTGGCACCAAACACCTCCGCGCCCATCCCAATCCCCAGCAACAATAGTAATCCACGGGTGACCGATCCGGCACAATCTCCTTCTCCCATCCCACAACCTTCCGCCAGCGGTGGACGACCACCTTCTGGTTTAGCTGGTCAAGGCAATGGTATGACATTTGGCAGTCTCGGTGGCGATGGCGATGTATGTTTGCTTCTTTTCTCGCCCCTGATTATGTGAAAGTCGACATTTGCTAACACTCGATTTGCCCCAGCGTCACATGCGACAAGCATCTGGCAACCAAGGTCCTGCAACAGTCGGCAACACTCCAGGTGGCCATGCGCGCCGTGAGTCCCAATCTAATGGCGAAGGTAACAACCAAGGTCCTGGCACAACGCGCGGTAATTTTGCTGGTGGCCGAGGTGGTCGAGGAAACTTCAACGCGGGTCATCAACAATACCAGCCAGGATTCCCACCCGGAAACCCGCAATTCAGAAATAACTCAGGTCCAAATCGCGGAGGAATGGCTCCTACATTTCACCCACAAGGTCAAGGCCGACCAAACTTCCCCAACTCGCCACACCAGGCCAGTCGCACTCCGGTTCTACAGCCATCTATGCCAGGCACCCCTAACATGAACCAAGCCATGCCAATGCCTGCCCCGCAGCCGTACAATCAATATGGAGGATACCAGCACATGCACGCACAACAAGTACATATTCCCACTCCTTCGCACAGTTCTCAAGATCAATCATTCAAGTCCAATAGCGGCAGAGGCAAGGGGAAGCGAGGAGGAGGATGGTTCAATGAGAAGTCTTCAAACAACCGTCCGCGTCAAGGAAGATCCAACTCCAACTCCAGAGAGCTGTGGGGTCATTCATTCCAATCCAATCCAGCTCGCCTGTCTGAACAGTTTCCCCCAGAACGAGAAGGTTATGGCCAGCCGCAAGGTGCAGGAAACTACGGAATGACGGCAGCATTGGAGCGCTCAGGTTCTGGTCCCTTCGGACAGAATCCGCAAGTCAGTGGACCACCACCTGAGCCTACAGTGGTCGCTTCAAACTCCAATGGAGCACCTGCATCTTCTTCTTACCCCCCTCTGCCCCCTCCTCTTCAAAATGTTCCTTTTGATAGCAAAACTATTGATCTTTCTCCTGCGAGCAATGACTTCAACAATTTTCTAACATTCAGATCACAGACTTACCAATATCCCCCACAGCAACCATATGATCATCGAGGTATGCCTATGCAACCTGGCTACTATCCTGCCATGGGACAAATGCAAGCCTACAACATGCAGCCGCAATCACCACAGCCTGGTTACCAGCAGCCTGTCTACGTCCCGGGACAATATGCTCCTCCTCAACCCATCCCAATGTCTCGAAACTCCTCTCAGATGTCTACCGACCAAAGACCCGCCTCCAGCATGGGCCAACCACAAACTCCCTCCATGGCTTCCTCGCACCCACAGGGCACACCACAAACAAAGCCCATTTCTGCACAATCGCCGGCCTATACAAGACCAGTTAGAAAGAGTGCAGCAATTGCCATCAAACGCCCAGACGGAGAGGCAATTGATGTGGCAGCTTTCAAAGCTCCTGCTTCCCCAGCCCCAAGCAATCGAGCCAGAACTCCACCGGTCATTGCGTCTACACCTACTCCTCCACCCAAGTCGGCTACCCCTTCACACGCTCGACAAGATAGTGCTGCCCCTGCAAAGTCCTCTGAGCAAATCAAGACGGAGATTCAGGATAAAATCAAGAAGGCATTGGAACTTGAGCAAGCCGAGGCGGCCAAGGCAAAGGAAGACAAAGCCAAGGAGGAGGAAGCTGCTAAACTTGCCGAGGAGAAGCGTGTCCAGGAGGAGAAGGACAAGGCTGCAGCCGACGAGGCCAAAGCCGCTGAAGACGCAAAGGCAAAGGAGGAAGCCGATGCTAAGGCAGCAAAACAAGCTGAGGAGGACGAGCTTGAACGCCAAATTGCCGAGATGGAGGCCGCAGAAGTCGAGCGAGAGAAGAAGGAAGCTGAGATCGCCGAGAAGCGTGCTATTGCCAAAGCAGCCGAAGCAAAGGCTAACGAGGCTAAGCGCAAGGCTGAGGCGGAGGACCATGATCGCAAGCTCAGGGAACAAGAGCGTGAGATAAACCGTATTGAAGATGAGCGCGAGAAGAAGAGACAGGAGGCTGAAGCTAAAGGCGAGAAGATGGACATCAAGGAGGCCATTCAAAAGTCGCTTAAAGATGACAAGAAGGCACCAACAACACCAAGTACTTTGGCGTCTAAGCTTTCCAACCTCAACTTGGGAACTGACAGCGGTGCTTCAACTCCAGATTCCGATAGCTCTATGGGCCCACCACCACCCAAGGTCACCGTGGAGAAGCGAGGCAAGCCGTCTGCACTCAACTTGGCTCCTTTGAACACAAGTAAGCCTATTGAACCACCACAACCAAGTGCTGCTCTCCAATCACTCAAATCTGCACGTTTCCTTACGGTGCTGGACTCTGCACTCTACCCCGTTGGTGTCGCTTCTCCCAACCCGGCACTCAACTCGGCAGTCACTGCCAAGGGCAAGAGCTTCAAATATGATTCTGCATTTTTGATGCAATTCCAAAAGGTTTTCGTCGAGAAACCTTCCATGGAGTTCGAGTCTCAAGTCAAGGCTTTGATTGGTGATTCTGATGCTGGCTCTGCCAGATCCGCGTCGGCTAGAGGTGGCATGGGACCAAGATCAAACTCTACCCGCAGCAACAACGCCCCTGGTGCGTTTAACATGGGTCAATTTGGTTCTCTTCCAGGAGGCAAGACTCTCCCACCAGGAACAACCTCAGAGCAACGATTCTCTATGTCATCCATGGGTGGCCGACCGGCTGCCGCCAATCCAATATCCTCTTTTAACCGCCCTGGTGGTGCATTCCCTGGTGGCAATATGATGGGTCGTTCAGCATCAAGCACTGGCACTGGTGGTGGATACAATATGCCAAGTTCTCCACGAACACAAAGCAGGAACCAACGTGGCAGCAAGAGAGAAAACACCAAGCAAGGTGGTCACCACGGTCCATCTGATGCCCAGGCGGCCAAGACGATGCCACTGACCGCTGGTATGGAGCTCAAACCAATTCAGACCTCATCCACTGGATGGAAGCCTCGCAGTGTTGGACAACAGGCTGCAACAGGTGCCGCTGGGCCTACGCCAGGTGCCGCTGGTGGTGCTCCTGGTCACATGGAGCCTGATATGGTTCAACGTAAGGTCAAGGCTGCCTTGAACAAGATGACTCCTGAGAAATTCGAAAAGATTGCCGACCAGATTCTTGCAATCGCTGCCCAATCCAAGGATGAGGCGGATGGTCGTACTCTTCGACAAGTTATCCAACTTACATTTGAGAAGGCTACTGACGAGGCTCACTGGGCTTCCATGTATGCCAAGTTCTGTAAGCGCATGTTGGAGACCATGAGCCCTGATATCAAGGATGAGAGCATTACTGATAAGAATGGCAACATCGTCTCTGGTGGTAACCTATTCCGAAAGTACTTGCTCAATAGATGTCAAGAGGAGTTTGAGCGCGGATGGAAGTTGGACTTGCCAGACAAGCCAGAAGGCGAGCGTGGTGATGAGAAGACTGGTGAAGCTGCTATGCTTTCTGAGGAGTACTACATTGCAGCCGCTGCAAAGCGACGTGGTCTTGGTCTTGTTCAGTTCATTGGTGAACTATACAAACTCAGCATGCTTACAGAGCGTATCATGCACCAATGTGTTAAAAAATTGGTCGACTATACTGGTGTTCCAGATGAAGCTGAGATTGAGTCCCTTACCAAGCTTCTCAAGACTATTGGTCGCAGCTTGGACAGCACCGAAAAGGGAAAACCAATGATGGATGTATACTTTACACGTATTCAATCTATGATTGATACCCCAGAGTTGCCCAGCCGTCTGAGATTCATGTTGATGGACATTGTGGATCTCAGAAAGAAGCATTGGGCATCAAAGGAGGACAACAAGGGTCCTATGACACTTGAGGAAGTCAAGGCAGTGGTATGTTTACTCCATACTCTTCTTATTGAATTCTGACTAACATTTTATAGGCGGATGCAACAGCAGCAGCCAAGGCAGCTGAGAGTGCCAGAGGTCCACGTGGAGGTGGTGGAGGTGGCGGCGGTGGTCGCATGCAAATGGGTCGTGGGGATTCGAGAAATTTCTCAAATCAATATGGCAATCAACCACCTCCAGATTACCAAAAGAATACCGTTGGTATGGATGATCTTCGCCGCCTAACCAACAAGGGTGGATCAAACCGACACTCAAGTCAAAACATGTCATTTGGACCTACGTCAATGTTCTCATCAAGAAGCAACAGTGGTCGAAAGATGGGTCCTGGTGGATCATTGAGCAGAACAGGTGAAGACTCTGGAGCTTCATCTAGAACTGGCACACCTCCTCACGACAAGGAAAAGAAGTCCAACACATCCGCAAATGCATTTAGTCTTCTTGCAGGATTAGGATCAGGCGATGCCGAACACCCAACTTCTCCACCATCAACATCCGTCTCTCCAGCATTGTCCAAGGCTACTCCTGTTCCTGCAGAGAAGTCTGACGACAAGAAGGGTGAATGATGATTGAACAATTCTTGATTTTTCAACAAGTTTGTTCTTTGGAGCGTCCTAATCTTTGTGCATAGACGGCGCACAAAACTTTGCATTTGCCGGAGGGCCTTTTCTTCTAACCGTGTCTTAAAAGTTTCTACTGTTTTACATGATACCTTGATACCTCACGTTCGACATAGACTACATTGCGTCACCAGATTTCCTTGTTATCATTCCTGCGCATATTGAACGGTGTGCGGGAAGACAGGTTGCATTCTCGCATTTTTCATGGGGCACTGGGGTCTGACTATTGTGATAGCATCAAGACTCGGCAGGCCAACGACCAAAAAGCTTTTCTTTCTGTGTCAAATAATCTTTTTCCTTTTTGTCTTTGGCTCATTTGCATGATCTGATGCTGCCCTTTTTTTGCATGCGTTTGGCCAAGGCTTCGACTGATATACGCGTTGCGAAAAATGTTTCCTTGCTTTTTTTTCCTCTTGCGTTTGGCAAGGGTGGGGAACCAGTCCTTCGAGTCCAGAAGCTACTGTCATGACGGTGGTTTGGGGGGTCGTTGAAGGTTCTTCGTTTTTTTTTCTCTCAGTTCTTGTTTGATCTTTGATCTTTCTTCTTCTACTTCTTCTACTTCTTCTACTTCTTGGCGGAAGAAATCTGGCTGGCTGATAACGTAATCTTGGGAGGGGAGAAACTCGGGTGAGAATGGGATGAGGATATGACATGAAGGAACGTTTTCTCGGTGGCCGCGGGATGGGATATGATGGGGCATGAGGATATCTTTCACACGAAAAAGCTGGTCGCCAACAGGGTTTTCTTTTGATGAGATGGGGGGNACGAATTGAATGGATGGATGGATGGATGGATGGATGGATGGATGGGATGGGTGGGGAGACCTCGCTCGTGGGGATGAAATGGGATGAGGAACGCATGCACTTGTACAAATATCTAATTCGCTCGATCACGCCAGCCAGCGCCAGATAGTAATGAAGAAACTCTTTTGATAAAAACAGTTTCCTGGATTGTTTTGTGATGTTCTTGCTATTACTATATGCGAGGTATAAATTTTGTAAAGTCGAACTCTAACTCGTTCACTACAGTAAAAGACAAGGTCCAAAAGGCAGCTATATAGTGGTACTTGATGGAACACGTGTTTAAATAAGCTTACTTGTAGTGTATAACCTTAACCCTAATCCTTACTCGTACCCATACGAGTATTCTAAATTTAGTCCCGAAATCCCTATCTTGAATTTGTTTGGTTTGAGCCCGGTTGGTTAGTTAATTGGAATATTGTAATATCACAAAACTACTTTGAAGTTTATTAAAGAACCCGAAATAGACTGTGTAAAGGCTTGATGGGAGGTTATAGATTGATTGATGGTTTAGGAAGGGAAGGATGGGTTGAGGGGTAATGTAAGTGGGATTTTAGGGATTTTAGGGTATTTGGGAGTGTGAGGTGTTATGTTTTTGAAGTGAGTGAAGTTGAAAGTCCTGGTGGTATAAATATCCCGATCGAGTTCCGCTTTCTAGTTAAAGTAACTAAATGTCTACCTCAAACGCTGGGGATCCTTTTTAGAAAGGGAACTAGGGACGAGAGAATATAAGTGAGAATTAGAGGAGGGCTAGGAAGGGGGGGTTTTCTATAAAGAGCATTTTTTTTCTGATTATAGGAAGAGGAAGAGGAATTTGTTTTAAGTTTTTAGGATTGTTTTAAAGGTTTTTGATTTTTCGGTTTCGGTTTTATATACGGTAGGTACGGCATCCCGAATCTACCACTAAACCAGATAACTTAATCGCAAATCGCAAAAGTTATATATTTACTACTACTATGCTAGAGTGCCTATAGCTCTACCCCCCTACCCTCGCTTAAACTTCGTAGCCTTGAAATTTTCACGTGTATACTCGCTACCCTTACTGTCGCACCCTCTTACTATCGCACCCTCCCCCCGTCCCTCGCTGTCGCCTATACTTACTGTCGTATAGGGGTTGTGCCCTAGTATATTATTTAGAAGAAAGAGAGAGAGATAGAGAGAGGGTAGCGGAGGGGATAGAAGCGGGGAAAGTTTTTCGTACGTGTCGCTTATTCCTAGCCCCCGAATACTACCTTCCTAAAGAGGTTAGGCTAGTACGTGTTACGCTAATAATTGTTTGCTACTTACCTATCCTCTCTCCTCCTACTTGCTCTTCTCTTTCTTTACGACAACGATAGTAATAACGATAGCGATAACAATAGCGATAACGATTAACGATAGTAACAATAATACCAAGAGGGGATATAGATGTATTTGTTAGCTAGGGGAGACCACTGTTAGGGGCGGGGTAGAGTGTAGGGGCGGGAGGAGAAGTTAACAGGAGTGTTCGAGTTATATTCGAGGGTAGGAGAATTCGGGTTAAATTCGAGGGAAGGAGCGTTTAAGTTTAATTTAAGCTTATTTACTTATATCGAGTATTTTTACCTTTAATTCTAGCGCTAGTATATAACCCTAACCTTAATAGTAACTTTTACGATTTGCGATTTAGTTATCTAGTTTAGTAGTAGATTCGGGATACCGTAGTAGGTGAGATGCTTTTTTATAGTTCGAAGGAGGTAATGTTTATATAGTAGTATATTTAGAGATACAAGTTTGCTTTTTTGGTAATTAAGTAATTATATTTTATAACTTTTTTGTTATTCTATATTAGGTATTAATAAGAGGTATTAGAGTAAAAGAAAAAGTATAGTATTTATTATTCCCTATACTCTATATTCTATTCTTACTTCCCTCCTACTTACCTTCTAATTACTTACTAAATCTCTCTATATATCTTCATTATAAACTACTTTTATATAATTAGCGATTAAAGTAACGTAAACGAAAATATAGCCGCTACCTACTACGATTACTTCGAATTCGAAGGGGTAATAGCAATGGCTATATTAGCTACTACTGTTATCCCTAGGGATTCGACTAATATAATTTCATAGTCTATGATTCAAAAAATGGAGGGAAGGAGTTGAGTGCGGTGGTCTCAGGTCTGTGGGGAGGGTATGAAGGAGATTTATAGATGTGAGAATAGGTGTAGTAGGTACGATGACGTTGAGGTTGGATTTCTGTGAGATTTTTACGGGGGGTAAGGAATGGATCAGGCAGTTAGGTGGAAGAGAAGGGAGTAGGAGGGGAAGTGTAGGCTTTTTGAGTAGTGCTGGGAGAATTGTGGTGGTTGGTAGATGGATATTGTAAAGTGATTAAGGGTTTTGTTGGTTAGTATTTCCTTTAGGCAACTAGAAAAAAGTATAAAAGTGAGAAGGAGATTTTGGGTGGTTTTGTGACTCCTTTTTTAGTTGTTGCTGGTGTTAAGTTTTTTGATAATTTAAGAGAAGATCGTTGATTTATAATAGAATAAAAATCTACTTTATTCTATCCGAGTTCTTACTTTAGTGAAAATGAAATGTGGTTTTATCTATCTTTGAACAAGAAAAAGCACGGGTAAAAGGGATGTGGCACTTTCAAGCTACTGGTGAAATCTGGAAGGGAAGCTTGGAGTTTGAACTTGGGATATTGTGGTGCTGTTCCTGGTATTAGAGCCCTTTACGTTCATATTTCTAGAAATCATATTTCCAGCTTTTGCAAAAGTGCTTGAAAACCTCCGAGTTTGACAAATGCTCCAGGGTTCCGGGAATAATTTGGAGTCATATTATGACAAGGGTCGTTCTTACCCCCACGTTACTCATACTGTAGGAAAGGCAGTTATTTCTACAGAGATTTGATTGGTAAGCATGCCCAGACACACGACCTTTTCCCCGCTCTTCCTAGGCCTTTTCTGCCACATATTGCGTTCTTGCTCGCAATAGAATGGTCACGATGCCAGAGAGATTCGTGCACTCGCTTCTCAGAGGACAAAAGGGACCGATCAGGTTGTTACATATCCAGCCATCCAAAGACTACCATGCCCCACTCGAGGTGGATCTCGAAGAAGTTGAGCTCTCATCCGAACCCGATTTCAAAGCCCTGTCGTATGTTTGGGGCGACCCAACAGATAACATTCCTATACTTATCTGTGGTAAGACATACGATATCACCGTCAATTGTCACTCGGCTCTTTTACGACTTCGGCAAATCGGAGAATCACGTCTGTGGATTGATGCAATATGTATCAATCAAAGAGATGACAAGGAGAAGATGCAACAGATACAATCCATGAGGGACATATATTATTCTGCGCGAGAAGTAATTGTATGGCTTGGGTATAGCGAGCCCCGACCACCAAGCGAAGAGAAGTACGACAGGATACTTTTCGAGCTTTTGGAAGACCTTCAGAACTTGACCGATGAATCCTTTCCGGACATATTCGAGGAACTCTTCTTTGATGGCTCGGGTGAATTTGAGGCAGCTGAGGCGTTCGTCACCCTATTATATCATCCTTGGTTCACACGGCTATGGGTACATCAGGAAATCTGTCTCGCGAAACATGCTTTGGCGCTCACTAGATTTCGGACTTTTTCAATGAATAAAGTCCTGGACGTGCGTCTTGATCAAGTCAACGGGCCCAGGGTGTTCAAGCGATTTGGACAAAGCCCACAGATGCTGGCAGGGCTACTCGAGAAGGGAGTCGCACTTGGATCAAGGGCAATGTCAGTAGAAAAATACGACAGGAAATTAAAACGTGTGACGGGCACAAATGGTGCGACGGCTTTATTCAAGTCAGTCACACGATATAACTGTTCTGGTCCTAGAGATCGGGTCCTCGGTGTGCTAGGTTTGCTGGATGACGATTTTGTCAGCCAGTTCAACTCAGCTACCTACCACAGTCTTCCAAATTTATTTGTGGCTACTACTCGAGCTCTGGTGCTGGAAAATAGGTCTTTATACGCCCTCACGCTGGTTCAGAAAAGTTCGCTGACACTTCCAACATGGGTGGTTGACTGGGAGCATAATTCTCACGGGGAAAAGAATTATCGCTATCATTACACGTCTTACCATTCAGATTTGCACTGTCCCCAGGCCATACTTTTATGTCCTCTGGGTTCCCATGAGCTCCAAATCATCGGTTTGTCTGTTGATTCCATTCTGAGCTGTACTTCCGAGCTTCTCATACACAGAAATGCCACCAGTATCGCATCCTTGACTTCAGCAAGAAAAGTATGTTTGGATCTCTGGCTAAAACACTTCTCACATTATCCCAAGGCTGCTGATGCAAACGAAGTTACGCTCCGGACGTTGACGGCCGATATAAATTACCTGGACGGCATTATAAATAGTACCACCAGGCTTGCAAGCATCACCCTCTTAACATGTCAAACAATTTTAGACTCACTAGAGCAAAAGAGATCTCTCCCTGGTCTTGTCTTAAGTCACCTCCAAACGTCGCCAGACTTGACGGATGGCGAAAGAGCATATTTATTCGCCATGTGGAACCATCTCCGCGAAATGAAGTTCTTCATCTCCAGCCTTGGATACATGGGAACCTGCCCAGGGAAACCCCAGATAGGAGATACGATATGTATATTTCCGGGTTCCAAGATGCCATTGCTACTACGGAAGACACGCAAGAAGGAGAATCAGTATACACTTATTGGTCCTTGCTTCGTGTGGGGTTTGATGGATGGGGAAGCTTTTAGAGATAAGGATTTATCCGTATAAGACGGCAAGTCTTTTGAGGACGTGCAAGGTGTGGATGGTTGGATGGCTTTTGAGCTTGTCTAGGCTTGAACGTCCAATTTATGAGTTGCACTAGAGGAATTTGCTTGCCTTTCGCAGCTTCTTTTGTCGATATAATGGCTGGTGTGAGATCCTTCTATTTTATCGTTATTCACACAACCAGTTTGTGTTTATCCTACGAAACTAGGGATAGCTGATCCATAAGGGCCACCCTCCTTGCCTCATCCCAAGAGATCTTAGCTGCTCAAGTGAACTTTCAAAGAGGGATTGAAGCAACGATCGGCAAATGGAACTAGATTCCATGGAATTGTGGAATTATATTCCACTAGGGATATTCTAGAGCACCTGATATATAGTATTATATAATATGACTTCCCTATACTTAATCTCTCTCTTCGTCCGCCATACCTACCTTAATCTCTTCGTTACTTACTTCCTCTAATACCTCTTTAGAAGTCATTTGCAGTCCAGCCATATTACGATAATTATTTGTAGTGTTAATAAGAATCGTTTTTACTAGTAACACTCCTATTAATCAATCAGACAGGTAGACTTTTCTTTAAGTTACATAACTTAGTTCTACGGAATAGGGGACACGGAAGGAATAATTCTAGATCTACTCTAGATGGAATAGGATATTCTATACCCCCCCTCTGGGATGGAATGGATTTTCGGTTGCCGATCTTTGGATCGAAGAAGCTACTCGTAATTGGTATTTCCACCAGTCTTCCCATCTCTCAAAAACACATGAAAAAAAGTAGGTACCTAAAGCAACGTTCACCAGGATTTCCAATAGCCTTAGTCGAAACCCAGAGCTTATACTCATCAGGTGTCCATTCTTCCTCATCCCATCTAGCCCCCCTCAAAATCCCCCCTCTAAAATTCCACTTCCTAAACCCCCACATTTGTGTTGACTTGTTCGAGCTCACATTCCATCCCTCCACACCCAAACCCTCTGCTTCATCATAATTCCCCTCAAACAGACCTATCCTCGCGACCACCCATCTCCAAAAAGAACACCCTGTAGTCTTCTCCTTGTTTTCTATTCAATCGGTACACATTCAACTTCTGCCCAATAACCCCTTTAAAACCTCGGATTGTCGGTCGATGATCAGGAATCAGGAATTACATACAAGTACTTGAAGCTGTTATTCTTCAAGTCAGTCGGATATTGCTTCCTACCACTCGAATGTATTTCCTCTAGCTGAAGCTCCGAGTTTTTGAGAGTAGGGAGTACAACGCATCTCCAAGCATCTATCGACGGCATCTCGTTGGAGGTACAAGCAGGTTCTACTCACCAGACAAATACCCCATGAATTAGTTTTGGGGCACTGTGAGTTTGTCTTGGACAGTTGCAAGGACCGAGATAGCTGGATGGACGCACACGATATCACCTCTCTCGCTTGGGAAAATATATATGGATGTATGGATGTATGGATGTATGGATGTATGGATGTATGGATGGATGGATATGTGGATGTATGGATTTATGGACTCATAGTTCATTGTAGAAATCCAATGACCTAGCTATATGAAGACATTCCAAGATGCTCTAGACACATCGAAACCAACATCTCAAATATACAACCCCCCTTCCTCCTTTCCACAACCAATCTATCTTCCACCAAACGAGGAAAAATAAAAGATCCACCCACAAACCCTCCTCCCCACCCATCCGATCCAAAAGAAGAAGATAAAAAAACGCCATGGATTCGAGAATTCGAAATTCGTCCTATGCAAAGCAAGCCATGCCACATGCCACAAGATGAAAAAGTTTCTTGAGAAAAAAAGATAGCCCCCCCCGCTGATGCAGCATGAAATCCCCTCCTATCTACTCCCTACTCTCACTCATATCCTCTGCATCTCATAAAGAGCCAAGATGACCTCGTTATCTTCCGCATGCAACATATACATCCACACAATACTCGCTCCCAAGACCAAGAAGCTTAGTACAGCTAGTCAGAGGACCGTACAGCTAGAGTTTCGACTCCTATATCCAAAAACAATCAGCACTAGGATCTAGGGCTTGATCTCTACTCCAAGGAGGAAGGATGGATCCGAAAACAGAGGGCCGTGATGGTTAGGGTCACAGACTTCTACTTACAAAGCTGGAAGTAGAAGTGGGCCAGTGAGTGGCTTAATATGCGTAACATAAGAAATTATCATACCATCTACGAGACTCCAGCTGAGCTATCCACCCCGCACACATCTTTAATCGTTCCAGAACACTGGTCATGGCTAGTAACTTGTACTTTTCCGTTTCTGACGTAGGCAGAACGCTAGCGAACCACCAAGGAAAGAGTGCCGGATCATTAGGACACTCGCCGTAAGCGGCGTAGACGCGGCTATGGAGCCAAGGAGCGCTTTGCTCCCGCATTCTCGTGATAAATGCCGCACAAAATTCCATGAGATCTTGAGTCGACATGGTGTCCAATTGTAAGACTGGAGACGGTGGTTGGCCATGGTGAGGTGGTGCTCCAAAATGATCCTGTGCTGAAAAATGTCGATCCGAGAACGCATCTGAGGTTTCCGAAACTTCAAGTGCTTCTTCTTCTGCAATGCTAATGTCATCAACCCTTTCCACCTTTCCAACCATATATCCATCCAGAACACCGTGCTTTAGAATTCGAAACCTCGACACTCCAATGGTCTCAATCAGACTCCGCCCATCTGGCATAAGGTGCATATTGACAATGTGAAGCATGACGCCATAAGAGTAAAAACCAACGGCCCCCAATTCACCTTGCACTTCTCGGGTTGGATTGTGTAATATCATTCCAAATTTTCGATTCCCACTCTCAATGGCGCGGCGGATCATGAGCCTATATCTAGGCTCGAAGATATGAAGGAATGTCGGCATGGTTGGGAAAGAGAGGGTACAGACAAACAGTGGAGTGTCCAATTCCCCCACGCCATTTGATTCCTCAATTTTCGCAGCTTCCGCTCGAGCTGCCAGGGCTTCTGGGCAGAGTCCGCTAAGGAGTTTCACGATAAGTTGATTGGAGGGTGCTTGTTTTGCACTGATTGTTGGTGGAATAGTCAACGTTCGTCGACATATCGGACACAAGTCTGAGTGATCAAGGATCCGATGTATGCAGTTTCGGCAGAATGTATGCCCACAGGCTGTGGTCAAGGGATCTAGAAAGAGACTATAACAAACTTGACAGTCCAGTTCTGCCCTTGTCGCATCCTTCAGCGTTTCCAACAAGGAACCGTCAAGTGACTCTATATCCCCAGTAGTGGATGATATTGGTGTGAATATGACCTCGAAATCATAGGCCAGCTCCCCCATTTCTGCCATAGCATAGGCAGCACATAATCGGCCACCACTCAACACTCGTGTTCGGGTTTCTTCATCCCGTAAAGAAGCTACGCCCGCGATGGCCCATCTATCCCTTTCCTGCAGTTGCAACAATCCTTCTGATGCCTCGGCAGAATTCTTGTATCCATCCAGCTCTTCTTTCACTATCCCCAAAACTTTATTGAGAGTCACATCCACGCTGCAATCCCCCACGGCATGATCTTGCCGACAGCTTGTGAAGGGGCACCTGAAACCCTGAAGACGGTTCGCAGTGGCAGGATATGAAATATTTGGACGCAAGTGGGATTCTGGCAGACACTTCTTGCATAACGAGTTCCCGCATGGCAAGGTAACTGGTTCTCGTAGAGGATATGAACACTGTGGGCACTGAGCCAGCCGGACTATCTGTCTCGCATCTTTGGAGGCATCAAGAGGGCCATTCGAGGAGGGCGCTTCGATGGGAGAAGTGGAGGGTGATTTCGAGATTGAGGATCGTAGGGCAGAGGGATTGTTGAGAGGAAGAGAGGACATCGACGGCGTCTCGACCAGCGCGGGGCCGGATTTTGTTTAGGGTCGTCGGGGTATCGGCTGATCGCCGTAGGAATGGAACGCCGCCAGCGTTGACCGTGATGGTGGTATCGCACTGGGAAGGACTCTCAAGTTCTGCCAGATATATATCTCGAACTGCTAGTAATGGGAGGACATTTGGGGTATCGGTGGTTGAGGTAGTAGATGTATTGTTGTGTCGGTATCGGTATTGGTGGCAGATAGTCGTATCGTCGTCCCGCCCCTGTAGATATGGATGATGATTAATGATGCGTCGGCGAGAAAGAAAACCGAGGCGGACTGGAGATTGGTTAGATGGGAAGCAGCATCAAAAGATATATGGTGCAGGTGCATATATTGTCGGCAAAAAAAGGAGAGAACAACACCGCAGACTCCTCCAAAGGAATGGGAGCGTACAGTACGTGTATATATGCCGTCACGAAGTGGTCATGGTCATCTTTTTCGTGCAACTCAGTCCTGGAGTAGATGCTGCGCTACGCCACTGCCGCTGCCGGTAGGGGTACTGTATGGGTATGGATGGATATGGGGTACTCGAGTACAAGGGGCTTGAGCCCCGCGCCGCTGTGAAGACAGATCCCGTCTGATTTGGCAGCAATTCTTCCGAAATAGGAATTATTAGGCGCTAGCGTTGTGGGATACGCCTTTAGCCATCCATAACCGGTATCTACTCGAGTATAGACTGCACATACTAGGAACATACTGTACATGCAAAGCAAATCCAAGCCATTCTAGAAGATGTAGAGTATCCTTAATGAGGATGCGATGTGGTGTTTTCTTCTGGCAGCTATAAGTAACGGTATCAGTATTAGTATCAGTACCATCTGTCACCAATGCCTCGCTTCTACTGCCTACTGCCCACTGCCCACTGACCGAAGACAAATGTTCCTGGCTCGGCTCTTGCAACACCTACTAGCACTCGTACATTTGCAACAACACCGAACACAGAAAGCACCAGAAGGAAAAGTCTTTCCGAGATCAAACAATAGACAGGTCAGAGAGTCTTCTACAGGAATACGTACTCTAGTCATTCGTCTTGGCAGTTTGCCAGTGAGTCGGCGTGGAAAGTTGCATCTCCATCTCTAATCACATCGGAAAACGAGGAACAACATAGAACTTCACGATGCTAATCCCGAACCATATGTCACCACGATCGAGGCTTTCCCTCATTCGGATTTGGCTGCCTTGGCATGTGCTTCGGACCGTTGTATTGACTAGGCACCGCACCTAAACTACAGTGGATGACAAGCTACGGACTGACTAGTCGGCAGCAGTAGCTCTACTTCTAGCTCTAGTACTCTATCATTAAATGGTTCCAGTCGTATGGATGAAGCTGTCAATAACCGAACCATCTCAGTATGTACCAGTAGTACTAGTTACTGTCAAATAATAGATCCAGTGCCAATTCGAAAAATCCAACATCAATGCCCAAACTGGCTGGTTCGTATAAAACTGCAACACATCCCCGTCGGACGTCGGGCACATCTCCGGTCCTCCCGCAGAGAAACAAAAGCAAGCGTCATCGACTACCCTCGCTTCGCCAAATACCGAGCTACGATTGGTCAGCCCTACACCTCACATCATATTGGACCCCGATATCTACTTGCAAGCCACCAGCGCACACATAAAATTTCCTCCTTTTCGCCATAACCCTTCCAATCCCAAGTCCTCGTATTACGAGACTTCCAACCGACAAATCCTTGTACATTATTCCTATCTCCGCCCCACGAGGACGACATAATTTACCTCCCCCATTCCATATCATATCAGATCGTCGATGAACTTGGTGAAAGGCATAAGTGAACTTTTGACAGCTGCATCCGCCCTGTTTTTACCCCACCGAGACCGATACCGGTAGCTGCATCATTTCCTTCCAATTGGTCCCTGGAATTTTGAAATACGGGAATTCGGACAGAGCTTGTTCTACTGATATAAGTTCGTCTTGAATCTAATCTTTAATCGAGCACGCTTTTCGACTTTGGATGTACGGAAGTACCAAATAAGTTTCTCGCCACGTCTTCGAAACTTCTGGTTTCAAATCACCACACTTTCTCCTCTCCCGGCCCACGTGCAGCGAAGTCAAACTTGATACACTTGGAAATTCAATTTTATATCATAGCGTTTCTAGACGGGCCATTAGATGTCAATGATGGAATTTTCTGAGGGACTGTGATAGCGACTGAGGTCACTCGTACACTAGAAAGCTTGTTTGTCATTCGCTCCAGGATTGACTCCTCTTGCCACCAAGAGCAGACGCTAGCCCCTAAGCGAGTTGGCACGTGATGTAAAAATGACTACCTACTTATTCACCATCTTCCACAAAGCTGTATATATCAGCTGTTACAATACACATCATCCAACCCAGTGCTTTATATCCCAGACCATCTGATAAGTTACGAAGTCCAAGATTGCTAAAGCCCATTCTTTAAACCGCCTGTTCCGTTCAAAAAGCTAACCGTCCACTCGCCTTCTGATATAGTTCGCTCTCTTACCCTCCCTTGCGCTAAACAAGGGGTAGCGAATATGTTCCTCAACCCAACCCTCCACTCCCTCCCCAGATTTCGGGAAACCAGCCTCCTACAAAACAAGACTTTGATTTGTCATCGCTATATTCAACTTTTATTGTATTGTTATTAAAATGAGGACTTTTATAACTTTGGCAAGTGGTAAATAGATAGCTTATTATTTATTTATAACAAGGTTATTATAATATATAGAAAGTATTTAGCGCCAAGTATAAGAAAATGTCTTCCTTGATGTAATAGAATAAATGAAGGGTGAGAGTAAGAGAATAATTGGTTTACTTCAATTTATAGACTACAACCACATTTTTCTCAAACTTTTTTTCGATACATTCTTTGCAAATTCCATTACGTATATGTGAAAAATGTTTAGGCAAGTTTGGCCTGATCTCCCCTGAAGCCTGAGAATGGGGGTACAAGGGTATAGGCACAATAGTAGTAAGAGATATATGGCTTTTACGATTTGCGATTTGGCTACTTGGTTTAGTTACAGATCCGGAATGCCTCATGCTATGGTAGTTATAATAAGAGCATGATTCTTATATATAACATGCACTTTCAAGATTAAATGTGTAAGTGAATAGGATTCCTTTTGAGCCAGCTCTGGGGCATGTTAGTCCACAGTCACCTTGTAAGAGGATAAGATGAATAGACATTGAATAAACTGTTGGTAAAGCAGCTGGAGTTGACTCATGAAACATAAGTATTAAGTACTTAGCTAGGATTACTATATTTGCAACGGAGAAGGGTTCTACTACAGGGAACTTTCAAAGAAAATAGCGTTATAAAGAACTACTCAACAACTCGAGTACTACTCAGAGTCACTCCGAGTTAAGTAGGCCTGGATTCCACTTGAGTTGAGTTGAGCAGGTGCTACTACTCAACTTAACTCCACTCATTTTCAAAGCTGAAAGACTGTATTCAGTTAAGACGAAGAGTCTTTTCGTTTTCTTTCTTCGGGTATATTAGGTATAATTTATCTACTCTGCCACTATTATGTTATCAGAAATTCGTGAGTTTCTTCCTAGATGAGCAACAAAATTGCATCAAGTTTTCGAAATCTATGCACCGCTGTTTAGCTAGCCTTCAAGTCCGGGGTAGATCTAGTTAGAATTAATTGGTATAACTAGGCCACCATACTAAACAGTCCGTTAGCTGTAACTAAAGTACAAGGGTTCCTTTACTAACTCTACTCTTCTACTATTTATACCCCGTCCCTCCTCTCATTACGCCTTCGCGTTACTCTTATTTCCTGGAGTATATTACTATAGTAAAAACTTGTACTTCTGAGTCGATACAAGTGGATTCGATAATTATATCAAACTGAGGCTTGAATGTTTAGCAACCTAGTCCGGTAGTCAAATGACTTTGTTCTACGGGCAACTTTTTGCTGTGATAGTATACTTTGGAAGGTATAAGCTAGCCGATTTAGGCTTTCTAATAATTATACAGTGATATATAGAAGGGGCACTTGAGCAAGACCTTGTAAAGGAGATAGCCAAAGCGGGGGGGACTATACGTTAATAAGTTATGTTAAGCTACGTCAAGATATCGTCCATTCGTCACGTTACAAAAGAGGCTTATTGTTGATTTCTTATATTACTGGCTAGCTTTAAATACTTAGACTTCTCACATATTATAGACTAATTAGAAGGCTTTATTTAGTATAGTAAAAAGAAGTATTAGTATCCTAGGCCTTGCTACCTATAAAAGGTATATAACTAACTAAAGGTAAGACTTAGCTTAAGGGGTATATAGGCGGGTTAAAAGAGCTAATAATTATACTATATAGAACGTGTAACCGTGTGGAGTGAACCACTGCTTGCTGTGATGAATACGGAGTCAAACGGAAACTGCTGTATTGAGCGAACAACAAAGTGAGGAAGGAAGAGAGTTCCAGAGGAACGAGAGCTTAAATACAGGATGCCAGCAGCGCGCACGTGACACATA